ACAATCAAAACAGCTTTCTAAAGAGACACATTCTTTTCACAGCTAACATCTAAATCTACTGAGTTGTAAAAAGCAGCAACTATGGTTAAACAGAGTATTATAAAGTAGTTTTAAGAGTTACACAAATGATAGCAAAGGTGTACTGTAAAACACTGATAAAGGCGCTAAGAGCCTTGCCTTTGTGCAAGTATAAGCTGGAGAGGCTGAGGTTAATATGTCACCACCTCACCTCAGTAGGTTCAGGAAAGCAGTACTTACACAACCCGTCTGAGGGTGTGATCTGAGAAACAACCAACACCACCTTTATTAGGTCATAAGAAGAGTTTTGAGTTTTGACTTTTTGGTTCTCGCACTGGGACTTGAACTCAGAACATTCCTTTCGTGTTCACCTTTCTTGGTACTCTACCACTTAAGCCACACTTCCAGTTTGGTATTTATGCTGGTTAACTGGAGGTGGGAGTCTCACAGGCCTTTCTGCCTATATACTATGATGTTCTCGATCTCAGCCTCTGGAGTATTTAGGATTACAGGCATGAGTCACCCACACTAGCTTCGTGTAAAAACTGGTAACTGAAGTATGCCCAATGCTAGCTGTGATCCAGCTAGAACACAGATTTCACCTAAGAGGATCCAGTGTAACCTGGAGAGAAATAGGATCCAGGTTACACAGGACTGCTGTCCTGAGACACACACACTTAACCTGCTCATCATTACCCAGAGCAGCAGGAGGACACATCGCCCTAGCCCGTCCTTCCAGTGACCTGCACACTGCTGGCCCTGACCCACCCCTCCAATGACCCACACACTGCTGGTCCAGCCCAGCCCTTCCAGTGACCAGCACACCAACAGCCCTGCACAGCCTCTCCTTGTCCTCCTACTCTGCTGACTTCAGATGTGTCAGAGGGCAGAACCCGTGTGCTCTAATCTCATAAAACCTAATTATTCTGATCATGCCTTCCCTAGCCACCAGCCCAGCCCTGAGAGCTGTTCAGCATCTTGGAGGCTGGAGGCTCTAAGGCACGAGAGGCAGGGCAGCAGAGGGAGCTGCACTCTGTCCCAGAGCATCATGATCATAGAGAACTGCCAAGATGAATGTTGTGTTTGCTTTGTGTCCACATAGTTGCTTCATATTTATATGAGTCAAAGCTGACCAAACACAGAATCCCCAGCTCCTGAGGAAGCCACAGGAAGACTGTGTGGAGAATGAGATGCTCTGAGAGGTATATATTATATGATCTAGTTCAGTATCACTAAGTTTTGGTAGTAACCCTCTGTCACCACAAAATGCACAGACCAAATTTGTTCCATCCCATGCTACGGAGTGAAAAGTGTAAGTCATAACCTACTATCTACTATATGCTTATCTGTGTTAAGTATCTTACCTTGCTCCACAGTCACAATTCTACTGGGTACCTACCTAACAAGGAAACTGAGGCAGCAAATCATCTGCCTAAGGTCACACAACTAGTCTTTTTTTTTGGGGGGGGGGTCCAGTCGTGGGGCCTGAACTCTGGGCCTGGGCGCTGTCCTTCAGCTCTTCAGCTCAAGGCTAGCGCTCTACCACTTGAGCCACAGCACCACTTCTGGCTTTTTTCTTTTTGCTTATGTGGTGCTGAGGAATCGAACCCAGGACCTCAGGCATGCAAGGCAAGCACTCTACCACTGAGCCACCTTCCCAGCCCCACACTACTAGTCTTAAAGGTCATTCTGTCCCTACATTCATGATGATACAATATTCATAATGAAACTTCAGATACATGTTTAAGAAGAGAATGCAGCCTAAAAATACTTAAACTGAAAGGAAAATGTGTTCACAAATGTCTTAAAAAAAGAAAATCCTATACACACTCCAACAAGTTTCAGTGTGTGTGCCAAAAAAGAAAAAAAAAGCAAATTGATTTCAACAAGTCTATAATTTCATTTATATTTAGAATATGAGCTGAGCTGGGCCTGAGTATGTAATGAATATATATGTGTATGTCTCTCTGTGTATATAACACCCATATTATTCCAAAATCTCCCCAAAATGTGGGAAGTTTGTTCCAACCCTTCTCTATTTTGTCTACGTTAAGAATGCTTTGCAATATGCTTGTATAAATACTGACTCTAGCTGCTGTTGTCATTTCTCAAGTCTTCTGCTTTTAAACCAACTGGAAAAGTGACAGACCTTAGCAGACATCTCTGGAACATAAAACCAAGGAGACAAAAACAAATAAAACCAGATCAAGTGCAAAGGCATCTCCAAACGTCTTCCTGAAACCCTCCAGCTCACAGAACGGATACAGAGAAAGATCTGGAAGGAAGTAGAGCACACTAGTGGCTCTGCCTCAGTGTGAGCGTGCAAGTGCACCATACATATGGGTTCTTCCATGCAGGGGTTCCTATGGGCACATGCTTTATCAGCACATGCTGTAAGCAGGTGTAAGCAACTTGGGTTGAACAGCACCTCTACAGAAGCATGGGAATGAAGCCAGGGAGGATTTTGCAATGCGTAGAGGTGCTGGGGTATGGGAGAGTGACACAAACACTTCCAGGTCACAGATTGACCCCAGGCTGAGCAACTTCACTTTCCTATAGCAGACACTCTCCGTCCCCTACCAGTAGTTCTGTGTCCACATTTCAGAGTTGCTGCAGGAGAGAAGGGCAGAGCTCTCGTTTCACTTACCTTTTGTGGAGTCCTCCTTACAGACTAAGGAAAGTCATACAACAGACTCAAATCATTCATCCTTTTTGCAATGCAAAAAGACTAGTAAAAGTTGTGTTCATCATTTCTACTTAGAAAGGTGAAACTCATCAGTGCCTTGGAACCTGAAATCAAGCATTAAAGTGCTGCCGCTACCATTGTATGGAGTGGAGATGAAGAGGGCTTCTTGACCAGCCAGGCAGCAACATCAAGGCTTTGCGTTTGATAACGAAACAATGGCATTATTGGAAACACATTTAAAGGAGGCGTGCTTTCTCCTGGCTGAGCATGGAACACACATCTGGTGTGCATCTTCTTCATGTAAGCTAATAACACAACAGGTTTTCATAGAAGCAAAAGTAAGCCAAAAAGCAACTTTACCAAAAGAAGAAGATTTTATAGTTATCCAATGTTGCCCAAGTGTATTTAGATTCTCTACTAAAGAGTCGCTGCTCCGAAGGATGTATTATTAGAGAATAAAAACACACTTCCCGAGGACCAGGGAGAAAAAAGCAAAATGAAGATTTCAGTTTCTAGAGATCATTTTAGTTTTTGAGAGAGATCACACAATAATAAGAATTACTAGAATGTCATCCAATGTTGTTGAGTAAGAAAGAAGTAAGGAAGGGGTGGGGCGGCACAGAGTTAAGTGTCTGAGATATAATAACTACACAGGTAAAGTAACACAGTGAAAGCCATTTGTGCAATTAATATACACTCAAGAAAATGACTGACTGTCTAATGGGCTTTGGGGGGTAGCAGCGGGGGATGGGACAGCTCTGAAAGAGGATGAATGAGCATGCCTGGGGGCTGCTATACACATGGTATGCACATATGAGAACAGAACAAATGAACCCTGCTGAAAATGTTTTAAGAAGAAAGGGGGGATGGTGGATCCGAGCTGCAAATCTGCTCAGGGATGGACACATCACAACGAAACTCCCTTGTACAATCAATATATACTACAAATAGGAAATGCTAGAATGTTCAAAGTTGAAATGATCAAGGCTAAGGTAGCAGTTCTGGCCTTGTCTCTGCTAAAGCAAGCAGAGAGGAGGTTTAGCTTTTGGATAGAGAACAGACACCAACAATCTCCAGATTTCATTCCAGCATCTCAACCCACATGCAGCCTGGTGTGAAGAGATGGCAGATGGAACTGCGTCTGTTCATACACTGTTGAAGCAAGAGGTGGAATGTTCTGGAAGCATGAATATTCAGCCAGTTTAGCAGGAGCCAGCCTAAGCGTTCTAACTGTATTAGGCAGGCCCCACTCATCCTTCTCCCTTTTTCCTTACATTAGATATGAAGACCAAAACAATCTACATCTAGAAAAGTCCACTTCTGCCAAGCTGGGGGACACTCTTCAATGAAAGAATGCCATTATCCGCGCTCTCAGTGGAAATGTATTGAGAGATGTATGAGCATAGGGTCAGAGCAGCCAGCATGTTGGGAAAAGACAAAGGCAGCTAAACAGAATCAGGAATTGTAGTCCACTTTAGCTTTAGGTTTTCACTTTTGTTCTCAGGATATGCTAAGCATCCATTACAGTATTGGAAACACAGATTGGGGTTTTATGTTGGCACCACGATTACACTTTTATTTTGGCATGTTTTCCTGTGGCATAAATAGTACTCTTCTTTTGCAATCTTGAAAAGGATTACTAAATCCAAAAGGGTAATTTTGGTAAAAAAAAATAAAAATAAAAGGTAACAAAATGACAATTTCTGTCTATGAATGAAGAATAGTGAAGAATAGTACAGTAATCCCCAAAACATCTTCCCATCTGCACCCTCCCCTCTCCCAAGAGGCAAAGAATAAGGTCCAGAAATAAAATAAAATGCCTATACTTGCAAAATGCCTATACTTGCTGAGAGAAAGGGCTGATGCTAGCTGGGAGAAAGCCCAAGAGGTCACCTCTGCAGAATGTGCAGGGAAGCAGCAGCACAGTACATCTGAGGACCCATCTCCTGAACCGGGCCTCCCCACACACTCTCCACCCCTTGTTCTCCTGGCAATGTTCATGAATGCCCTTATGCAGCCTGGGGGACATGAGAACCAGGCTTCTCGTGCCCTCACATGGCCGGGCATAGGACCAAGGCCCCATGCTGGGCCCCAGGCAGGCCTGCCAGGCTCAGGATCCCCAGGCCCAGCGGGTAGGACCTGCTCAGAACACAGCACGTCTCCGGGAAAGGGTGGAAATGGCGTGCTCCTCAGGACGGAGGCCTGCTTAGACGCTGTGCACATCTAATGAGCACTCATTAGGGAAGTGAATCAATGCCAAGGCAAGGCGCATATGTGGTAGTGGAGATGGACTTACGAAGTAGCCTGTCCCCAAGCTGGAAGGAGCCGAGCTCTGTAATAAAGCACACAGACAAAGTGGAAAATCAGCAGCAGTTTTTTTTAACACGTTCCAACCCACACAGCTCATTACCAGCCCTTGCCAGCTTCTCATCACTACCTCCCTTCCCCAGCCAGGCAGGGCTGCCCCTTGTCATCTGCCACCGACACAGACACCGTGCGGCTTAATTTTCCCCTTTACATCTCTCAACAACTCCGAAATGCTAACGTGCTATTTACTGAATTCCAAGCTTCCGTGGTGGACGTAATTGCCAATTTATTTGACAGGCAGCTGGGTAATGAATTAATGATGGCATTTCGCCCTGCACTGAGACTAAACAGACATGCATCAGCCTGCCTCCCTGACTTGCTGACATTCAATGCCCTGGTCTCCAGCTACTCAGCTTTGTGGCCACAAAGGGGCAGGCAAGAGGAAAAGCCTAGACTGGCTTGCAAATAAAAAGCCCAGTGGGCTTGGATGACTTTTCCCGGGATGACCTACTTGCCAACGCCTCCCCATGGGCCCCCGTCAGCACACACTCAGAGCTTCTAAAAAATGAGACATTTTGTAAACACAATTAGACTAAAACAGAAGGAGCGCGCAGGCAAGGGAAGCAGCGGAAAGCTGGTCCCAAGAAGGGCCAATTCAGGCCGCCATGGCACTGACACCCGGTGCGGTGCGTGGAGAGATCAGGCACCATGCCATGAATGCAGAGGAGCATGGGGGATTGCTGATGTGGGCAAGAAGCCCGATGAGTGCAGTGCTCTGCACCATGGCTACTCACCCTCCCTCTCCTGGAAGCTCTCCTTAGAGTTTGCTTACTCTTAGCAACATTTTGTGATGAAGAGAAGCAAGAAGTAAGTGGGAGGAGGGAACAGGGCCAGGTCTCAGCCAGGCATGGGTGCACCAGCCAGGCCTGTGGTCTGAGCAACCTAGGGTAGGGTGATATACCTCCCAGGGACTATGTGACATGTCCTGTTCCTGGGAAGGAGGGCCAATTAGTGGATTCAGTGCTGCTTCCTCAAGTGCATTTAGGAGGCATTTGTTGAGTTACTGTATCAATGCATGAACGGATGGTTGGGGTAGAGGGAGGCTCAGGGGGTCCAACATCTTCAGAAGCCCAGTAGGTGTGATTCCTCTTGATGTGACCAGAGGAGAAGGGGAGTGCATGGTTTCTGTTCTGGCATTCTAGAATACCACACATGGGCAACCTCCACAGTGGGCTCGGCTCTGCCATGCCACTGCCTCAGCCCTGAGCTGAGCCCAGCAGCAACAGGAAGCCATGGAGACAGCTCCTCAAAACAGTGTCCCTGCCTCCCACACCCATGGTGCTCTGGAGTGCAACGGAAGGCAGAGCTTAGCCAGGTGCCCACTGACCTGGAAGTCAGCCTGACTCAGAACGAATTACTCGGACATGTCTGTGTTGCTTTCCCAGAAGGAGAAGTGTCCCTCCAGCCCACCCTCGCCCCAGATACACATCATCTCATTATATACCAAAGAAACAGGCATCCTTTGGGTGGGAAAGCTCTGCTCTGCTCGCTTTGCATATATATTGTACATTACTGGGGAGCTGGGAAGAGAAGAGGGCTTTGTTGTGCATATTTGTTCTGGCTATTGTTTATGCAGGTCTGAATGAGGGAACAGTGGGTACCATTTCAATTTCTGATGTCAACATCAAATTACTTATTTAATTTCATGCCTGGCGAAGCATTGTATAGCTACACGCAGAATCATTTCACTTCATTTGTTATGCTGTGCTTTCGTGGCGACTGGCTTGCCTTCCAACTGACAGCTTTAATTACGACATGAATTTGATTGCACTGCTGAGGAATTAACATAATGCAACAAAGCATTTAAACACCCTGCCTGCTAACCCCTCCCCCACACAGGCACGCGCACAGCACACACAGACACATGAAGGAGCACATACTGCCTCCTCTGGTATATTAAAGGCCCACTGAGATGGCCTCAGCCATCAGGTAGAAGGGATACACACCTGCCAACCCACTGTCCTTGCCTCGCTTAAACACAGGAAACAGATCTGTGGCTTCAGGTGGTGACTTCTGGATCTGGCAGAAGCTGTTATAGCAAAGCCCTCTTTTAAGCCATTCTGCCAATGTCCATGGCACTGACAGTCCCTCCCTTGTCACTGGCCCTCTGCTGTGCTCTTCCTGACTAGTAAACAGTCTGCCTGCATCACAGTGGACAAGTGGAAGACACAGTGCCTACGAAATCACCCCAAGATTCTAGCTACAGCCTTGACTAGTGGGACACAACTCCTGGTCACCAGAGGATGGGTCTCAAAGGAGAAGCCAGTAACAGGAACAAGCCTTGATGGACTGATGGTCACGATGAGCTTCATAACTCCTACAGCCTGGCTCCCCAAGGGTCCCAGGGAAGAGTCTCAGCCATGTGAGAGCCCAAGCTTAAGTGTCTACTGAAATCTTTTTTTTTTTTTTTGTCAATCATGGGGGCTGAACTCTGAGCCTGGGCGCTGTCCCTCAGCTCTTCAGCTCAAGGCTAGCACCCTACCACTTGAGCCATAGTGCCACTTCTGGCTTTTTTCTGCATATGTGGTGCTGAGGAATTGAACCCAAGGCTTCATATATGCAAGGCAAACACTCGACCATTGAGTCAACTTCCCAGCCTTCTGCTGAAATCTTAGCTGCAGATATTTGAAAACATCAATGATTTTCATAGTTAGAGATTGTGTAAGTACCTCCAAACCACAGGAAACAACAGTATCACACTATCAAAATGGAAGATGTGGGGATGGGAGTGGTGGCAGATGCCTTCCACCAGCTACCTGGTAGGTGGAGATGGAAGGATTGCAGCCCCGAGTCAACTTGTACAAAAAGCACAGAATCCTTTCTGAAAAAGAACTCAAGTAAAAAGGACTGAGGGTGTGGCTCAAGTTAAGGTTCCTGCTAGCAAGAGTGAGGCTATGCTTCAAAATTCTAGAACAACTCCTCCCCAAATGTTTAGAAACAGATTTTGTATAGCTTGAAATGTGCTATATTTATTTACAGACTTTTTTTAGGAATATATTTACTGGGGACTAGATGATGCTAGGAGGTAAAGGTTTAGAAGAGTATTCTGCAGAGATAAACTTCATGTTCAGTTGCTGTGGGTTTCTGATGTGAAAAAAAGGACTTCCATTTTTTTTCTCATCTGAAGTCTAGGCTGACCAAACTAGACAGCCTTACTATTACTTGATCTTGGAATCAACAATGTTCTAGTTGAACTAAGACCTGAAGATGGGGTTTTTCCTTCAGGAGGAAACCCAAGTTCTCTTGGTTTCAGGGCATTTGCAGTAATACCATCTGCCCACATTCCCACAGAATAAACAGGCCTTATTGGAATTTTTTTAAAGAGCTGCCAACTCATCCATATTTCCAAAGCAATAGGCAGCACAGTGGGCTGTGAGGGGCCTGAGAATGCAAGGCAGGAAAGCATGGTGCTGGCCTGAGGAAAGCCATCAGTTGGCTGGGACGGTGATTTCTGGGCTCATTATTGTCCATCTCCTTCAATATGGGCTTCTCATGCTGAGAGAGGGGTTGTTTGTAGATTTGATTGATGCTATAGCAATATTTGGCACTTATCTTCTGGGATCTCACCACATAGAGGAGAGCCTTCTTAGCATGAGCTATGTGGACTTTGAGGGGCCCGAAATGGGAAAGGGGACATCCACTGACACAAAGCCTCTAAAAGGGAATGTACTACACTTACATCCTTGTGCCTCTCAGTCCCACCTGCCTTTTTTGCCCCTCTGCCACTACGCTATCACCAAAGCTACTCATGACACTCATGATGTTTCACATTTCTCTTTTAACAGCTTCCTAAAACAAGCAATTTCAGAGCTGACTGTACATCTAAAATGGATGTGCTCCATTCATGACTGCCCGAACACGAGGCCCTGGCCAGGATGCCAGCCTGTATATAGGGGTGTATTCCGCCCCTAGGTGAGGCTGGGCTAATTTAAATAGAGTATTTCTAAAATCCTTGCCAATCCTCAGTTTTATCTGACCTATCTGCCCACCTCCACATTCTGCTTTTTTCTCCTGGGGGTAAGAAGGATCATGAAAGGAACCACCACGATAAATAGTTTCCTGCAAGGGTCACAATAAGCTTGTTCACACGTTTCCCTGTAGTGTCTTAAAAAACAAAGACAAAGAAAAGAAGAGCAAGCCAGAATCCCAATAAATGTGCTTGGAGACAAGACTGTGTAAGCTGACAAAGACATTCACCCCCACCACACCCAGCCCCTAAATTAAACAGTTTAAAGTAAAATCATTTTGTTGTTGTTGTTGATCATGGGGCTTGAACTCAGAGCATGAGACCTGTCTCTGAGCTCTTTTGCTCAAGTCTAGCATTCTCCACTCCTTTTTTTTTTTGGTCGTTTGTGGAGCTTGAACTATGGGGCCTGGGTGCTGTTCCCGAGCTCTTCAGCTCAAGGTGAGCACTTTAACGCTTGAACCACAGCTTCATTTGTGAATTTCTGGTGGTTAAATGGAGATAAAAGTCTTATGAGAGTCTTATGAACTTTTCTGCCCAGGCTGGCTTTGAACCACAACCCTCAGATCTCAGCCTCCTGAGTAGCCAGGATTACAGGTATGAGCCACCAGTGCCCAGCAAAGTAAATCTTTTAACTGTAATCCTTTCTACCTTTTCTAGTGGACATGTAAATAGTAAGTCAGAGTAGGTCAAAGGGCTCCTTGTGTCCCAGTATTCATCCCTACTCAGAACACAACTAGTGGTTGATTTTATGTGTCATGACAATGACATAGGGTGCCCAGGCATTTGGGAAACTGCTCTCAGATGAACTGTAGGCTTAAATCAATGCCTGGAGTGAAGCAGTGGGCTCCCCAGGGCGGGCAGGACCTGTCTCTCCTGCAGGCCTAAGGAGACCAAAGGGCTAGAGGGAATTCCTACAGTCTTTCTGCCCAGGACATCTGGATTGTTCATTCTTTCTCTGCCTTCAGAGACAAAGAAATCCCTTTCAGGGACTACATGCCAGCTAGGCTTCAGACCAGAGATGCACCATGAGCCATCCTGGGTCTCCAGCTCACCCATGTACATATGGGATTTCTCCAACTCTGCGCATGGCAGAGCTAGTCTCCCTCACACAGTCTCTCTGTGTCTCTCCTGCCTCAGATGGGTTGGGTTGAGTTTCTCTGGGGAAGCCAGACCAACACAGTGATCATACTTGGAGAGAGGGTCTTGAGTTTGTGACAAATGCTCACAATCAATTCATAACTAAAGGTTTTGAGTTCATTGTTTTTCAGTAAGTTTAACCCCTAAGTTTTGACAACTTCCTCAACTATAAAAATCTGCTTAAGTCAGAAGTAGTATCTGCTCCGTTAAGTAATACTTCATGAATATTTATATAGCCAGTGATTTCTCTGAAGTTTCTCCTTAGTGACTAAGTAAGTTACTACATCCTTGAAGTGAACAACTGAAAGGCCTTGTGAATTTCTTCCCTCTGGCACTATGTTGGGAAGACATAGTTTAGAACATCCAAGCCCTGTGGCTTTATATTTTACAGGCTTTATCCAACTATAACCAGAATTTTTTCTTATTCTTTTTATCTGACAGGTACAAAAACCCAAACTTTAGTAATACAGTACCTTGATTAGTCTCATTTTGAGAATACCAATTACAAAAGATTTGAATATATCATTGAAAATGGCCAAGACTGATGGCACTGGAGGGAGGGAAGTTGGGCACTCCTGGCCTCCCCTTGCTAGGCGGGCACTCTTTTACTGAACTACACCTCCAGTTCTTTTCATGCTGGTTATTTTTTTATTTTTTATTTTGGGTACGGTCGTGGGGCCTGAACTCTGGGCCTGGGCGCTGTCCCTCAGCTCTTCAGCTCAAGGCTAGTGCTCTACCACTTGAGCCACAGCGCCACTTCGAGCTTTTTTCTTTTTGCTTATGTGGTGCTGAGGAATTGAACCCAGGGCCTCATGCATGCAAGGCAAGCGCTCTACCACTAAGCCACCTTCCCAGCCCCATGCTGGTTATTTTTTAGAGAAGACCTTGCCTTTGCCTCATTACATCTGGACTGCAATTTGCCTATTTTAGGCTTCCTACCTTCCTGGGATGACAGGCATGTGTCACTATGGCCAGTGTCTTTTGCTGAGATGGAAACTAAAAACTTTTCTACTTGGGCTGGTCTCAAACTGTGATTCTCCTGATCTCAGCCTCCCAAGTAGCTGGAATTGCAGGTATGAACCATCATGCTTGTTTTGATGGCAATTTATAAAAATTACTGTTATAGAGGTTCTATACAGAGGAGCTACAGTTATGTAAGTCAGGTCATAAGTAAATTTCTTTTTGGACAATGTCACCCCTTCCCTTGTTCTCTCCCAGTTTTTCCTTCTTGGCCCAACCAACAAGTTGTATAGTTCATTTTCTGCATAGTGTCTAGTGAGTACCACTGCTACATTTGTTTACCCTTGGTCCCTCCAAGGGTGCACCCCTTAGCCTACCTAAGACAGACAAATGAACAAACAAGACAAAAGGAAAAGCAAAGCAACAACGAAGAAAAACCCTCATTTCCACTTTGATGGAAATTTTTTTAAATCTCAGATACAAAATCAGTAATAGGTAAGTTAGACTAAAAGGGACCAGATATCCTCTCCCACTTAAAGTGACAGAAGAACTGGAAGAAATGTCCGACAGCAGAGCTGAAAGCAGACATGTGAGATGTCTCACGACATCTGAGAAGCGGCTGAGTGGTGCCACCTCAGCGCCATGGATTCATTCTCATTTCTAACACTAACAGAATATAATCACTTCCTTTTACAATCTAGTGCTTCTAAAGTAACAATTACTCCTAGCTATATCCTAATTTGTGAAAGTAGTAGATCTTGAGTCAAATTACATTTTGGAATGCCATTATAACTGCAAGGCCCAAGTGCACGCCACAAAGTGCTCTGCAGGGATGGGGCATTGTGAAAGCCAAGCCTGCGTGGAGGTGAAGGAGTACATTACAGTGCTGGGCTGCAGTGAACACTGCTGCACAGTGCCAGGCCAGGCCTGAGTCAGGGCTATGCATGCCCAGTACTCACGTCGCTGAGCCTCTCCCGGGAGCTGCTCCGGTGGAAGCCCTTGGAGTCCCCGCTGCCACTCTCGCTGTCGCTGTCCCTGCAGCTGTTCTGTCCTGGTTTGAGCTAAAGGGAAAGAACAAAAAGGACAAAGTCAGTGGCATCCTCACACGCATGTCTCCTGGCCCATGATCTCTAAGCCTGTCAAGTGAGCAGTTCTGAGCAGGGTGAGGCAAGCTGCCACAGACAGCAGCATGTGGGCAGGGTGAGAAATCCGTGGACCCGGGCACAAAATGCAAGCCACAGGCCAGGGCACAGAACATAATCCCCGGGCCAGGCTCAGAACACAATCCATGGGCCAGGCCACAGAACGCAACCCATGGGCCTGGGCACGGAACGCAACCTGTAAGACTCCATTTCCACCTACGGAAGTTGGACACAGAGGCCCAGGCCTCTGATCCCAGAAAAAAACAGAAGCATACAAAGCAGGCAATGATGTACTCTTTACTTGACTTATATAGTTATAACCCCTCTGTACATTACCTTTATAATACCAATTAAAAAACTTAAAAAGTTAAAAAAAATACAGGCAATGGTAGTTCAGGAGTGTCTGGGTGGGAAATGAGATCCTACCCTACAAAAATCAGTAAAAAGCAAAGCTGGAGGCATGACACAGTGGTACTGTGCCAGTCTAGCAAGTGCAAGGTACTGAGCTCAAACTCCTGCATTCCCTAAAAAGACCAAATAATGCCTACAGCCTAAGTAAGTTACCCTAGAACATGTGCTACAAATATTTATTCATTTCCTTAGCTGGGCCAGAACCAAGGATTAGAGATAGGAAGAGAACTGGGAAGGGGAGAATGAGTTTAAATTCTAGTGGTTTCTATATACTTGGCCATTTCTGATTTTTCTTTAAGAGAGAACAATAAAAAAGATTTAACACAATATTGAAATCATCAGTGTACTGGCAACTATATGTGGATCATGAGTGTATGACACGGTCACTAATCATGTTTTCCAAGATGTTTGTAAGTGTACAAAGCCCCACATGAGGTGCCACTCCAGTGAAAACAAACATAGCAATACAAGAAAACAATGAAAGCAAAATCGAAGAGCAGCCAGGGATGCTCCGGGGAAGAGTGGTGGCTTCTGCAGCTTGGGTTCTGAAAAGTTGGAGCACAAGTGGTATGGTGGCAAGGAAAGGGGAGCCCTCCAGATGGGCCAGAGGCAAGAAAAGGAAGGAAGTAAGCCAGCTCTCCTTTTAGGGAGCAAACAAGAGCAGGCGAACATTTTTCTAGGCTCAGAGATGGAACTACCAAGGACTAGAAGAGACAGTACTTAGCAAATTTTGGCCTGCAGGTCTTCCAGAGCTTGGGAGCTGAGCAGGGAAATGGGCCTGTGATGAGTGGACGGCGAGTCTGAATGGGCATTCTCTGTCCCTTCAACTTGCTCCTTATTGCCCATGTCAGACCTCGCTGTGGCCAGCCAGCCAGGGGCCTCCCCCGCTCTGGCCCCAGACCAAGCACTGCTTTATGCCCTCAAGTCCATTTCTGTCCCTTTCTACCCTACGATGTCTTCTGCAGTAAGCTCAGGAAGGGTCTAAGGTGACTTTGTGTCCAGCCCCAGAAGTCTTGGTCTTCTGGTGAGTTCACATGAACTTCACTGCTTCTGAGCTAATTCAACTACAGCTGTCTGAGGGGTTTTTATTATTACGGAATAAAAAATGTTAATCTTTATACTGAGAACAGACAAAAGAGGGTGTATGTGTGTGTGCACGTGTGTGTGCGTGCATGTGTGTGTGTGTGTGTGTGTGTGTGCGTGTGTGTGTACCAGTAGTGGGGCTTGGACTTGGGGCTTGGATGCTCTCCTTGAGATTTTTTTTCTCAAGGCTAGCACTCTACCACTTGATCCATAGCTCTATTTCCGGTCAATTGGTGCCAACAGTCTGATGAATTTTTCTGCTCAGGCTAGCTCTGAACCACGATCCTCAGATCTCAGCCTGCTCAGCAGGCAGGATTCCAGACATGAGTTATGGAGCTGACAGAGGATTTTATTGCGGTCTACTACCTCCCTGTATCTTGCACACCTGTGTCTATTCTGCCATCTCTTCACCCGAGAGTCCCCAGATGTAATGTTAGCTTCACCACCTCTAGGCTTTGTAGTCAAGATGTTTTCAAAGCTCAGTCCTTAAAATAATACTTAAACTAGCATGTCAGTTTTCTCATTAATGCCTTTTTACAAGCACATTTTAAGTTCAAAAAAGCCTACTGATAGGATGCAGTTATATTAAGATCTGTGTGTAGAGAAGGTCCTGTAGCTCTAAGGTAGGACTGAAACACTGGCTACACTCTTCTCAGAGCCTGTCTGAGGACCCACCTCCACTCCTACCCCCACCTCCACCTACCTCCACCCACCCCACCTCCACCCCCACTCCCACTCACCCCACCCCACCCCCACCATGTGCCAGAAGGTAGACGCACCAAGGAAGACAGATAGAAGCATGGGTGAAGACAGAAACACAGGGGAAGATGAACAGATGTGTGGAGAAAGACGAAAGCATGAGGGTAAGATGGAAGCATAGGGAAGGTAGAAAGTACAGGATGGGCCCCAAGTCACAGTGATCCAGCAACTAAACCCAGATTTCTGGGCTATAGACCTCCGTGCCCATTTGGGTACATAATGCAGAAGGGTGACTCTGCACTGCTTTGGTTCTCTTTACATAGTCTTCATACATTGTGAGGCCCAACTACAAAGAAAGGAATCTTGTTAGGTGAGGGTTGATCTTGTTAAGACATGCTTATAAAAATCAGTTCTCCAGCTAAGATGAGAAATACACATCTAAGTGGGAATTAGAGAATAAGACAACCTAGGCTTCTTGTGATATCTGTCTGGCTTAACAAGGTCTGGGCATTTCCCTTGGGTTTTTGCCATGCTTTTCCACAAAAGAAAAGCAATGATCTTAACAAGGTGCCACAGCAGACTTCTGTGGCTGTGGGCAACGTCAGTTATAGGACTAAGTGTGGATCTGGGCTGAGGGCGAAGCCCATGGAGGATAGAGCAGAGGGGTTGGCTTGCCCGAGTTCCCAGTGCCCTGCTGTCAAACACACTTCTGTAAATTCTCCTTGGACAGCCTTAACATAAACCCACCCCACACTACCCCTTCTTCCTCCAAATCCAGGCTCAAGTTTAAAGGAAACTTAGGATTTTAAGTTGTCAGCCAGCTCAATATTTCAAAGGCATGGACTGACTATAGTAAATACTAAAGTTAAACCACAAGATTTCAGTCAAGACGTGTTCATTCCTAATCCCATGAATATATTTTCAAACAAGCATTTTCAACCGCAGCCAATGGATCATTCCGGCTGGCAAAGCCAACTGAGAAGTTGTAATCCTTCACCTGAAACTCCCAGCTATTACCTACAACCAGGAGACACTGCAAAGTCCAGGTGCCGGCTTAAACACTTAAAGACCCAAGAAAATTGATCTGCTTGCATTGACTGATCTGAGCATCTATGGCAGCTATTATAAAAAAGCTTTTGTTAAAACAGAAGCAATAAGATTTCTTCCTACTAGGCTTGAGATACTTCAAGAACACTTTATCTAGTTAGAAATTACTGTAACACATTCTCTAATGCCAGAAGTTTTTCCCCACTAGAATACCACATCGTTTAAACAAATAAATTAGAATAAAAGGAAGGGAAAAGTGTATCTGGCATGAGTGGCAGTAATTCTATTCCTAAGAAATGTCTTCCATAAAAACAGGAGCCCGTTCCCATTTTTCACTAGATTACAGTGTCAAGAACATCATGTTCCCAATTCAGAAATAGTGATCTCATTACAGTGTTAGCTGTCACTAATGGCTAATTAGGAAAATACCCACTAATGCCTTTATCACCATTAATGAACATGGAACCAAGGGGTCACTACCCTGGGCTACAGGAGGATGGGGTGATTCTGTGGCCCTATATCAAGCATCTGCAAGCTAGGCTATGCCATGGAAGTTCAAAGAACATACTAGACACTTGGCAGGTGTCACTAGTCCATCAAGGAAGGATTACAGAAAAAACAGCATGGGGAAGGTATCTGTGCAAGGAACTTGAGGGGAAGGGTGTGAATTATGGGGCACAAGGCAGAAATGGCCAGCAGTTACCTCCTTCCTTCCACACCTCTGCTTCCTTGAAGCAACAAAGATCACATTTCAGACTACTGAATTTTCCTGCAGGGATCTGGATGAGCTCATTTTAAAAACATTTTACCAAGTGTCAATGAGCTCAAAGGCATCTTTTTAGTGAAAAATTTTAAATTGCCCACAGACTTCAGTCCCTTTAAAGCAGAACACGCTTAATCCTATAAAATGTTGTTGTGTTTTTCAAGATAAAATTGTCTCCAAATGGATTCACAGACTGGGATACGTTTACATACTGTTTTATTCCTTATGCTTTCAGAAGCATTCAGATGAGGGATACACAATACATGAGACTTTAATGAAAAATCAACTAACAGAGAATGACAACTACAGATTGTCAGGTTGGGTAGAAAAATATTCTTTTTTTTAAAATTTTATTTTATTGTGAGAATACCGTACAGAGGAGTTACAATTACATGGGCAAGATAACGAGTACATTTCTTATCAGGTATTGTTGCCTCCTCTTTGTTTCCCCTTCCCATCCCATCTCATACTCCCCCCACGTCCCCTCACCCGAGCCTCCCCCCACTCCACCAAAGTTGTAAAGTTCATTTTTCGACATAACAATTTGTACATCTCATTGTTGCAATGGGTCCACCTGTATCCCTAGTTAAATGATTTGTTTTTGCCCTTCCCCTCCAAAAATTATATCAACATCAAATACAGTGAAAGCAGGGGTTATACCATGGGGGAGGGACATACAAAGCAACATAGAAATCATCTTATAAATATGTTAGAAACAGTTGCATGAAAGAAAAAAAAACATTTGAATACTTATCTTGGGACTCATTCCCCTAACATCAATTTATCTGACCTTTTCTGCTTGAATCAGACATATATTAGTTATTGCAAATAAGGGAAACTATGGGACCTAAGTTTCTTTGGGACTGGCTTACTTCACTTAATATAATTTTTTCCAAGTCTTTCTATTTCCTAACAA